CTCAAGATGGACATTCTTTACTAATTAAGCTAAACTATTGTTTGGCTTAAAGAAGAATTCAGATGATATTTTTGGTGTAAGGTTTAAACATTATCTCAAGGCAATAGTTTCAGGAGTTCATCCAGCTTCAGCAGCTCCAGAAAGTCTGAATTCTATGAGAATTTTAAATTCTGTTCTGCATTCCCCTTTTGACCAGGATTCTTATATAGAATCTTTGATCAAAATATTCGGTAATTTGCAAGCACCTATCTAAGATGCAACAATTGGTTTCTCCTTATCCAGAGCAAAGAAGAATGAAGAAAACCACAGATGAATGGAAACAATTAGTCCAAGGGACTAGTGTGCCATGTGAACATCAGCCTACATGACCAGAAGAACTAGATGGTGCCCAGTTAACACTGTCAACCACTTGGAAAGGGATCAATGTAGATAGAGTGGGAGAAAAATGTGGAACAAACCACACACACACACACACAAAAAAAACAAAGACCAGGCTGTATATGACCATGAGACCAGAAGAAGTAGATGGTGCCCAGGTACAACTGTCAACCACTAGGAAAGGAGATCCTGGATAGACTGGGAGAACAATGTGCAACAAAATTAAAAATCATTTAAAAAAAAAAAAAGGAAGAAAGAAAAAGAAAAATGCCAGGTTTATTTGTCTGTTAGAGCCTGGTAAGACCTCTAAGACTATGGCCCCTAGTTACCCTTCAGGTTTGGAACTGAATTCACTCCTGTGGCTTCCAGCCAAAAACAGACAGGCATATGCTATAGGGTGAACATTTACATCAGGTAGATATACTCCTCAGAGCGAACAATCAATTGTGGGAGAACAGAAGGGCAATGTTTGCACAGGGAGATAGCTTGTGGGGCAGGAGTCCATGGGAGGGAAGGAAGCAGGGAAGAGGTAACTACATAGAGGAAGTAGGAAGAGAGCTGTCATATTGTGGGAAATTGCAGTCAATGCTATGAAACAAAATGTATATGAAATGTATGGTAAATGAATTTGCTCTGTAAACTTTCACCCAAATCACAATAAAAACTAAAAAAATAAAATGAGAGAGGGAGAGAGAAAGACTAACTGGTCTGATAGAGACTGGTGAAACCCCTGAGACTATGGCCCCTAGTCACCTTTCGGGCTTGGAATTGAACTCACTCCTGAAGCTTCCCACCTAACAATAGACAGGTGTATAAGGTGAGTATTTATACCATGTAGGTACATTCCTTAGAATAATCAGCCATGAGTGATCAGAAGGGCAATATTTGTATAGGGGGATAGCTCAGAGGGCAGGAATAGCAAAGAAGGACATAGGGAAAAGGTAACCACAGGCAGGAAGTGGGAAGAGAGCTGTTCCATTGTGGGGATTGCAATCAATGACAAGAAACAAAATGTGTATGAACTGTTGTATGGAAAACGAATTTGCTTTGTAAACTTTCATCCAAATCACAATTAAAAAACAAAAGTGTTCAGTAATGTTAGCTGGACACCATCCAGTTTTTCTGGTCTCATGGCAAAGGAGGCAGTTGTTCATGGAGGCAATTAGCTGCACATTCTGTATCCTCCTCCTATTCCAGACTCTTTTCTCTGTTGCTCCAGGTGAATAGAGACCAGTTGTTGTGCCTTGGATACAGTGCTGCAACAAACAGAAGCACTAGAAATGGTTTTAGGCCAATTAACTAGGATTCAAAGCTCTTTCTCCCAACATTTTTACATGACTCTGTCCTTGCAACTCTTCAGGTCTGCAATCTTGGCTATAGTTACCAATAGCCACATGAGGTTATGAACCACTTGTGGCTAGTACAAACTGAGATGTGCTAACAGTATAAAATACTGGATTTCAAAGCTTAGTATGAAAGGAAGATATAAATATCTCAATAACCTTTATAATGATTAATGTTGGAAGGATAGTATTTTAGACATATTGAGTTAAATTAAATATATCACTTGTTAATTTCACCTGTTTCTTTTTACCTTTTTAATGTGGCTCCTAATTTTTGTTATTACATATATGGCTTGCATCATACTTCTACTAGGCAGCTCTGCTTTATGTTTATCTGTTGATTTGTACTTTCAAATCTTCCCTAGTGGTTCAAAATTCTCTCCTCTTTTATCATTCCTAGAAAAAAAATGGGAAAGCCCAACTGTTTCCCCAAGCTCCAAACCAAGAATTATTTTCAAACTACTATTCTCAATGCCTTCTCTCCTGCCTTATTCTGTATCTGTATCTCTTTTTGCCCATTAATATAACTCCTACTTCTGCAATCAAATTCACAATAAAGTTCTAGTTTTTTTCATCAGTTCTAGTAGAGTGTTATCTGTCTTAATTCTCAGCAAAATAATAATTTTTAAAATCCTTATAATTCTCAAAGAAGAGAACTCCATTCATCATTCTCCAAACTGGCTCATCTTCACAATAATTTCATTTAAAAGGGCTGGTAAATTGTAAAGCACTAAACATAAACTAATAATGATTTCAGACAAATGTCACCCATACACACCAGAAGAGCAATCATTCCTGTCATTTTTAAAGATAGTGTTCTTTCTCCAAACTCTTCTACTATTGAGATTGCACTATTATTATTCTCAGCCAAGAACTCTCTTAGTTCACTTCAAATATTCTAAGACAATTCCCAAAGCTGAGTGTTTGTTTCCTAGCCATTTATAGCACGAGCCACGCATCATCACTCCCCAGGCTGACTTCTGCCCAACATTTCTGGAATTGTATTTTCTTTCCTTAACTATTTCAGGAAAAATTCAAGCCTGGGAAGGTAGATGTGAGTGGCTTGGAGAGGCAGAGTTGGGAGAGAGTTTGTACTGGGAGGGGCAAGGAGCCAGCAGTCACAGGTGAAGCTTCTCATTCACTAGTCTCTGGTACATTTCTGCTGAATCCCTCATCATTGCTGCCCTGCTTGGCAGCCCACTTGTTTTTACCCATGCCCAATGTGAATCAAGGCCTTCCCTCAGCAGGCTCTCCAAATGCCACTTCTGCAAGTATCTCCTTCCTACCACTCTTAGCCGAGAAATGCCTTGCCTTTACCTGAAGAACAACCCAGATCTCTTTTTTGTTTCTAGTATTTCCACACAGAGATCTTTCCTTCACAACTCATTTAATTAAATTCCAGTTTCCCATCATTCCTTCCTAATATTGAAAACCTTAAAAAAAAAAAAAAGTATTCCTACTATTGAAACTTCTCCCTGTTTCCTAGAATTTTTATTTAGGTTTCTCAGCCCTCTCAGGGGAGAGCCTTCCCACACACACATCTGGTCCAGAGAGCCAGTATAGAACCCCTTGTATGTGCCTCTTCCCATAGACAGCCTTCACTTGAATATATCCATGCACAGCTTGTTCCTCAGTCCCTTCTTCAGTTCTCCCCTCCTCAATATTTCTCTTCTGTTCTTTTCCTCTGTGTACTCTTCTTCCTCAACATCCAGTACTACAATCGATATTCTATCTGCTTCCCAAAAGCCCCTATTTATGGGGTTAAATAATAGCCAAGTGGCCCTGATGGGTGGGACAAATTGCTTGCGGCCACCTCAGCTCTTCTTCATGGGAAGTGCCCCCTTTCTGTTACCCCTCCAGCTCATCCCTTCCCAGTGTCTCTGCTCCTCCTCCAGTCTTGTTGGTCCTATGGCTTCCAGAGCCATCACTCTAGTGACCTGCCTTGCTCTCTCTTCCTCCTTAGGAATTGCAAAACTCTCATCTTCTCATCCTTTCATCACAAGATCATGCTGCTGGTCACTTCCTACTTTCCTCACCTCCAATTCCCCTTACTGTTCTGGCCTCTTCTTCCCACGTTTCTAGCTGCTGCTCTATCATTTTCTTTCATCCTCCTTGGAAGGTGCTGCTTTGAATTCAGTCACTAGATCCTCCTGGTCCAACCAGATACAAACAAGAAAAAGACAGCTGACTCCAAAAGCCCAAATGCCCAGGGCTAAAGGGAAAGAAAAGAGGAAGGTAGGCTCTATGGCAGCCCTTGAGTCAGGAGGAGTGATCAGCTCTTTGGACAATTTAAGGAAGGACCCAGAAACCTAAAAGAAGTATCAGGAATTGTCTTCTCCTGGCAAAGAACAAAAAGGACTCCTGGATCTCCTTGTCTCTACCAGAGTCACACCTCAGGCCCCTGGGGTCCCTTTCACCTACTAAGCTGGATATGATAAATGACCCAGGAGAGGAGGATTCATCTTGTTGCTAAAGAAGTTTAAGCTTCAGGGCCCCACACTTGCAGGCAGCCCACCATATCTGTAAGCTTTATCTCTAAACACCCAGATCTGCCCCAGTCAGGCAAAAGCTATTGGGGCTTCTGGGGTTAAGGACCAACAGGGTGAACAGGAGGGCTCTCAGTGTATTGGTATAAACAGGACTCAGTGCAGTACACCTGCTTATATGGTGAGGGCACCCTGCTATGGATCCAGGGCACCTGCAGGACCTCTTGGCTGAATCTTCCTGCTTCCAGAATCATTTCTGGATTCCCAACCCTAGGGCTCTGAGCCAGGCCCAGCCCCTTCCCTCCCCACCTTTAGCCTCTCTCCTGCCCCGCCAGATAGCTTAGGGCCGGTGGGCTCCAGCCCCTTGCAAGCTCCATGTTTCTTTGGATTCCCACGCAGTTCTTCAAGGCTTGGCTCTAGACCTGCCAGTTCAGAAACCATGAAACTTCTCTTTGCCCCTGCATCCATTGAGCCCCAGGCGTTAGGGGTCAATGAACTCTGCCCTCCCAAGCCAGAGCTGCCTCCCCGACTGAACTGACAGCCCAGAGCCTTCCCAGCTGGCGGCCCCCTTGTCCTGGGGTCCTGCTGCCATCGGCAGGAGTCCCACTCGTGCGTCTTCCCTACTACCCGCTGAGCAGAGAAAAGAAGGGTTCTGGAAAGAGGCGCGCGGTGTGAGGCTGGGGAGCTGAGAGGCGGGGGTGTCAGTCGGAAAGGAGCCAGGGGGTCCTGGGCAAAGCTCCAAACTCTGGGCTCAGGGGTGCCAGGTGGGCTCCGCTGGCGCTCAGGCACTTACCCGCCAGACTTGGGAAAGTCTCGGAGAAGTGCGGGGGCGGCGGCGGCGGCTCGGTCCCCTTGTCCCGTGACTGGCCCAGCTCGTCGGGGCGTGGGCCGCCCTCGGGGCGCCGGGCACCGGGCTCGGGTGGGGGCCGGGCGGCGGCAGCGGCAGGGGCCAGATCCGGGGGCCCGTAGAAGGCGTCGGGCGGCTCGGCGA